CCTCCTGCCTTAGCCCCTGAGCAGCTGGAATTATAGGTATGCACTACCACAGCCAGCATACAGTTTAATTTTTTAATAAAGGCTGTACTTTACAACATAAGCTCTTGCAAGCCAATATGAACAGACTACAGTATTTCACTGTGCAGGCTGAAACAATGGCCCTCCAAAGATATATTCACTTCCTCGTCCCCAGAATCTATGAATACTACCTTAAATACAAAAGGGTGAATATTATTTTATTTGGTGAAAGCAATATCTAAGAATCCTGAGAGGAGGCTCTTACCCTGGATTATCCACGTGGGCCCCAAATCTAATAACAAGTGAAGTGTCCTTGTATGAGAAAGGCAGCTGCTCCCATCTGTGTGGCCTCAGGCAAGACACCCCTCTGTTCTTCCTCCCCACTGCCTCTGCCATTGGTTCCTTATCTGTAGAGTAATGATAATAAAATTGGGGTTGTTGTAAGTCATTCATGAGATAATCTGTGTAAAGCCCTTAGCATTAGCTATTACAAGTCTGTCCAGAATCTCATACTCACACCCTGGGGGCCAGATGTGATTCAGAATTCTGACTCTTTCAGCTTGAGAAAGGGGATACGGTGCACATGCATGCATTACGCAGTGCCCCCAGCAGAGTCCGAGGTTACACCCAATAACCAAACACACTGCTATTCCTGCAGTAAGTTGTGACATAAGTTTTAGCACCAAACATACTAAAAATGCTTTTGATTTTCATGCTCTGGGGAATTGTTGGAATTGCATCCAGAAGGTTATGAACCTGTGTTACTATCATCAGCTACCACCCCACCCTCCCCCGCCACCCGCCACCCCAGCATGGAAACCATCATTTTTCTTGCAATACCTCATTCATTTGGGGATGCAGGAGGAGTAGGTTGGACCTGGCGTGAGGTCTGTCTGGCAGCACACAGGCTGGCGATTGTGATTGCCTCAGCAGAGCCTCTCAGGCCAATCTGCCTGAAGTGAAGCATAACCCCCATCCCACCCCACCCACTGCAGACCCATGGCAGCTCCGACCTTCACAGCCTCTTCTAAGATTGGTGGAAACATCCTGATTCCTGGCTGTTTGCTTCACTTGGCACACGGTTCTCATTCCAGAGGGAACAGCTGGGCAAGCAGCAAGCACTGAGGCGAAGAGGCTTTCTTGAAAAGGATAAAAGTGGATGACATTTCCAGTTTGCGGAAAAGACACTGTTAATAGATTAGACAGAACTTTAACAAGCAAAGAGCCAGATGCATGTGAATGTACAGGAGTTGCAGTTTGAGTCACCCTGGTCCAGAGAACCGGCCCTGCCACATCATTGACAGACAGTTCTTCTTCTGCTAATCCTTCTGGATCCAAAGAGGAACTGTCAGGGTGGCTGGGCTGGGGACTGTGGTGGGAGCATCTTTTAGTGGTGGTCTTGGAGGCAAGACTTGCTAACACAGTTCCTGCTGGGTTTCAAGTCTCACCCTTCTACCTACAAGCTGGGTGACCTTGGGTGACCCTATGTACCTCACCTGTAAAATGGAGATAATAATAATCACACCTCCCCATGTGGTGGTTGTGAGGTTAAAAGCTTTGATCCGCATAAACCACCTAACCTAGGGAGCCTGCCCTTCTCCCACCCCCAGGAAGGAAGAGGTCGGCATTGATGGGAATGCTCAGAAATGGTGTCCTTGCCAGGTGGGCTAAGGAGGGAGAGCTGGGCCCTGTGACACAGTGCCACAAGTGGTTGGCATGCGCTGGGCAGACTGAGGGGGACCTCTCCACATCTGCCCACACCCCCCCCTCCCCCGCTGCCATCTGTGCTATTCACATTAGCACACAAACGGGCTTAGTGTAAGCTGGGGCCTTGCTCACTGACAAGAAGTCTGGCTTGGTCTTTTCAAAGAGAAATTCTATACATACATACACATACACACACACCAGGCAAGCCTGCCAGGCAGGTTTCCTCTCTTTTCTTAGGTAGCCACCCCTGCTCCATTTCAGTGTAAAGGAATCCTGCTCACAGGATGTGGCTATTTGCCTGCTCTTCCGGGTGCTAGGCCGCTGCCTTCACCTGCATTACCAGCTAACTTTGTTTAGCCCTCACAGCCAGGCAGTGTGGAAATCAACAAAGACTAGCCAAGGGAGAACAGACAGGGGCTTGCTACGGCAAGGGGGTAAGCACCATCACTTGCATTTGGCAAGGACTCCGAGGCAGGCACGGACTGGGAAAGCTTTATAAGGAGAAAGGGAAGGCTCCAGGTACACCCTGATTGGAGGCTGCTGACATGGGAGACACTGGAAGTGAGCAAACCAGAGGTAGGGCATCCTAAGTGATTGGTTAGGGGAGCATATTTGGCTTTCTCTGATTGATCCTGAGTTGAAAGTCAGGACAAAAATAAGGAAGCTGGCAGTCACTGATTAGGTCCTCACTCTACTGGGCAGATTGTGGTTGGGTCTCTCAGCTGCTTGCCACAGAGGTGGTGGCATAGAGTTTTATTATTATATGTAGTTTGGGCATTGTCCACTTGCATGTTCTGTCTCTCAGTGGCAAGACAGGATGAGATCTGTTTTATTTCAAAGGGGCTGGCTAAGTCACAAAGTAGAATGAGTCTCATCCTGATGTGAGAGATCAACTCTGCTTTGCAATGAAATGTTTCCTCGTATTCCTTTCTCCTTGCCATTTTCTAGGATGACAAATGTCTCACTCCCAACTCTGGATGAGTGTAGGTCTACCAGGCAGAAGGCAAAGCAGAAGCTGTTAAACAGAAACTGGTTGAGACCAGGAGGAGCAGCATAACTTGATAAGGGTATCCTTGGAAAGAACTGAGAACACAGGAAGAAGAGAGGAGAAAAGACAAAAAAGTCAAAGTCAGATAAACATTGGTGACCTTAAGAGAAATGCCTGAACTCTCTAAATCCAAACTCCCTTTTTCAAGGGCCTGAGTATTACCCAGGACACGTCTATATTTCTATCTCCACTGAGTATGCCAGGCATGTTGGTTGACTGCAGGCCCCTGCTACCTATCTCCCACACTGGTTTGTAAAAGATCTAGCAAAATGCACAGGGCCCAGATGGTTTTATGGGAGAGTTCTATAAAATTTTTGAGGAATAAATGGTTCTTATTTAAACCGTTACAAAGCATTAAAAATAAAATTCTGAATTTATTTTATGAGGTATGTTTAAATTTAATAGTAAGACAGCCATGGAGTGCCCAAAAAGGAAAACCTTATGAATGTATATGCAAAGATGCTAAAAATAAAATTTGCGAGTTAAATTCTGCAGTTCCCAAAATACTAACATACCTCAGCCAAATAGGTTTATTCTGAGAATATAAAGATTATTCAGAATTAGAAAATAAAGGAGAAAAACTGTATTTCCAGTAGATATTGAAAAGGGCATTTACTAAAATTCAATCCCCATTCTTGATTTTTGAAAAATTCTTTTAGTATGCTAAGAATAAAAAGAAACTTCTATAACTCGATGAAAGATATTTATCAGAAATGATTTCTTTAAACTTGATAATACTTAATAGAAACCACAGACTTGTTCCATTAAAGTCAGGAATAAGATGTGGATGCCTACTATTGTCGCTATTATTAGTCAATTTTCCTCCAGAAAGCTCCCAACCTAAGTAATATAAATAAATGAGAAGAGTATACACACACACACACACATGAAATATAAATGTAAAATTATCATTATTTGAGAATATTATTTTTGGAGATAAAAAGAAAAAATAAAAATAAATAAATAAATAAAAATAAAATATTATTTTCTACTTAAAAACTGTTAAGATATGGACCTAAAAGTCTACCTAGAAAAATCTAATCAAGAAAAAGAACTCATTCTCAATAGGAATAAAAATTACAAACTCTCTTTAAAATGAGTTTATTTGTTGAAGAAAACTTTAAAATGTTACTAGAGGCAGAGGGCAGTGGCTCATGCCTGTCATCCCAGCACTTTAAGAGGTTGGGATGGGCAGATGCCTTGAGCTCAAGAGTTCAATACCAGCCTGGGCAATATGGCAAAATCCCACCTCTACAAAACAATACAAAAAATTAGCGGGTCATGGTGGCACACCTGCTGTCCCAGCGACTCAGGCGGCTGAGGTGGGAGGATCACTTGAGCCCAGAAGTTTTAGGCTGCAGTGAGCTGAGATCTCGCCACTACACTCCAGCCTGGGTGACAGAGCAAGACCATGTCTCAATAAACAAAACAATTGTTGCTAGAGATTATCAAAGAACGGGGATTATCAAAGAACACCAAGTCCCTGAATGAGCACACTCAATATTCAAATATGTCAGATTCCCACGATTTATAAATTCAATATAATCACAATCAAAACACCAATGGGATTTTGAGGATAATAGGAAAGGGGTGGCATACTTCATAGACTGACATTATCATATGAAAGACAAATGCACAAAACTAGCAAAGGAAAAAAAAATAAGTAGAATAAAAACATGGGAACTGAGCCCACCAGATAGCAAAATAAACAAATAAATAAATAAAATAAAGTAACTTTAATTAAAACACTATCATACTAATGCAGGAACTGAAAAAAAATATCAGAACAGAGTTCACAAATGGACCTCCATGCATAATGGGAACTTAGGATCTGATAAGAGTATACTTTTACAGCAATAGAGAAAGAATAGACTATGGAATAATGTTACAACTAACTATCTATTTTAGGGGAAATGAAACTTGATTAGATCCATAACTCACACCATTCTCTGCTTAAAACCACATAAAATAAAGTCTTTACATATGAATTTAGAGGGAATCTATATGAAAATATATAATAAATTCTATGTAATATATAAGAAATACTGTATAATACTAGAATAAAACACAGGAGATTATTTCAACATTCTTGAAGCGGTGACAGCCTTTCTAAGAAGGCATGAAACTCAAAAGACTTAAAGGGAAAGTTAAACAAATTTGACTACATGGAAATTAACATTTTACACTTGGCAAAAGACTTTATAAACAAAGTTAAGAGGCAAATGATAGGCTGAAAGAAAACATTTACAACATGTCAACAGAGAAAAGACTGATTACACTCAATAGAGTCAAAGATTTCCAACAAATTAACAAGCAAAGGGCAAATATCTTAAAAGAAAAGGGCAATGCAGAAAAGAAAATACAAATGTCTGGTAAATAAGTGGAAAGATGACTTCATTCATGATTAAGGAAATGCAGTTTTTAAAATAGGTTTTCCTACTAAATAGACCAAAAAACCCCAAGAAGTCTGAGAATGTCAAGTGTTGCTGAGGGTGTAGAAAAACAATCAGTTCCCTATCCTCTTGGGAGAAATGTAAATTGGCACGACCATTTCAGAGAGCAAGTTGGCAGTTTCTCTCAGAATACTGAATGCCCATACCCTTTGCCCTAGAAATTCTCTTATGGAAATCTAGCTCGCAGAAATACTTGCACGCCACACAATCATGTTCATGGCAGCAATGTCTGCAATTGATGAAAAATTGGAGCTACTTAAATGTTCATGATCATGAGACCAGCTAAATAAAATATGATACATCCCTGCCTTGGAATTTCATGTGGTCACCAATAAAGATCGGGTCCATTCAGATGGCTGGTACAGAATATAGTTAATAAAGTAAAAATATAGAGAGTTGACAAAGAAAGCATGACCACACTTTTATTTTTTAATTTGCATGTACTGTGACCATGAATAATACACACATATACACACCACTAGGGGGTTTGTGGGACTTGTGCTTTTTATCATATGCTTCTATTATTTATGAATTTGTTTTTACTGAGCATGTATTACTTTTAGACTTTTATAATTTTTTAAATTAAAAAACATAACTGAATAAGACTTGAAAATTTAAAATCTATAAAAACAAATGCATTATGTTTCATTTCTTAGGCCTGAGTGTACTTTCAGCCAGAGCAACTCTAGGCTGCAAGTGTAGTTCTATGAAGATGGTACATTTATTAGGTTTGTCTCATGTATTGCATGCAGGCATGCACACATGCCACACACACCTACACACCTCTACACTTCTACACACACACAGCATTCTCCAGCTCTGCATATGCATGTGTGTCACACGTTTTTACAGTATCTTGAGCAGCTCACAGAACATTTTTGAATGTATTTGATAGTATATGGGAATAAACAGCCAGAGCCAAGAAGGCAGAAAGGAATGCATTGAGATTGAAAACCACATGCTACCTCCACCATCCCAGGCGGGTGAAATATCCTGTGACATCCTTGTGCACCTCTGGCTTCTGGCTTTTCCTATATGTCCTCAAGATGAGTGAGTCCAAGAAGATGCAGCCATCAGGATGGATGCTCATTGACTCAGGGCCGTGGTGAGGCTCACGGGTTCTCGTCCCTGAAGAGCGTGAGGTTGTGCTTCCGGATATGTTCCAGCAGCACTTGTCCTCGCCGCTCCAGGGTCTGGAGGACCTGCTTCAGCCCCTGGGCCCCACCTTGGCTTTTCCAGAACACAGGGTCCATCTTCAGTGACTTAAGCAGCATGTTCTGTAGACACCCTGATGTAAGAACCCTCACAGCAGACTCAGGAAACCTGGAGTGAAGGCCCCAGAGCCCCACAACAGAAAGGAAAAGCAACAGTGATCTCAGAAAGTTTCAACAATAGGCGAAGCCAGCTGGCCAGAGCTTGCATAGCTGAGGAACTCTGGCAAAGTCACCCTGCAAACTTCCCAAGCCTGTGCCCGCTATCTCATTAACAGAGGACCCTTTGCCTGGCTCTGCTGTGAAGGCAGGGGATAGACCTTTCAGATGGGTCCCATCCTACACAGAAGCTAGGTGAATAACTTCTGCTATCCCAGGCTCCACTTGGCAAATGCAGGGCTAGAAAAAAATCCTAGGAAGGCAGAGCTGCCTGACAAGAGTGAGCAGGGAGGGATAGACTCTCCCACCTAGAACAAGGGAAGGGCTGGCCTTCCCACACCCCAGCAATGCAGCTAGTATTCTGCAGGCACAGGAGGCCCTCTGGATATAGGGGTAGGCCCTGCAACCGTAACCCTTGTCAGCTTTCCCAGGGCTTTCCACCACCACCTAAAGTTCTGATCCAATAGCTTCTGTCTGATGGACCGTGACCTTCTCAGGGCCACAGTTCAAGGTCCCACGGTTTGCAGCAAGGCCATCATGTCTCAGTCCCGTGAACTTCCACCCAACCCTTTGACTCTCACCCATCTATGCCCTCCAGCAGCCGAAAGTTCAGCTTGTCCTCGGGGTGCTGAAGGTTGCCGGCATTATCGATGTAGACCAGGTGAGATGGATCACTGCTCCGGACCTCAGGGAAGAGGGTGGACAGAGACAGAGGTGGGTAAGGGTGCAGCTATGGCTGGCACCTATGGACTTGTTCAAGATTAAGTAGCTGAGAGCCCTGAGCTGTCAGTTCCCTAGTCCGTCCTAACAGTCCTCACAGCTGAGCACATACTCTATGCTGAGCACTGTGCTAAGTGCTTCCAGGCATCCTCTTAATTAATGCTTCCAGTAACCTTAGGAAGCAGGTACTAGTGTAAGCTCTATTTTATAGAAATGATGGCACCTTCTTTAAGTTAGACAATTTGCACAAAATCACACAGCTAGTAAGTAGCTGGCCTGTTTCAAACCTGGACCCATAGGACTAAGCCACAGCACCATTGCTAAATTGCAAGGCTGAAGGACTGATCCTGTTTTAGTGGCTGAAGGGGTGAGAAGCATGGCTGGGAATCGGCAGGTGCCGCGGTAACCTCCTCGTCAGGTCCATTGGCTGTGCGAGGCATCGCACATGTGCTGCTCACACATGTACACTCACTCACCCCTTTGTGCCACCTGTGATTGTGCCCTGGGCATCCCCAAGCACCAGTGAGAGCACACAGTGTCTTTTATCCTCAAAAGCCACTGACCATACTCTGTTTCTACAGAAGAGTTTAGCAGCTCCTAAACCTTTTCAAAACTAAAATCAGCACCAGAGAATTCTTTAGTACCTTAAAGAATATGGTGTGATTGTGAATGATAGGCCATCTCTCCTGGCCCCCACTCCCATGCACACACTTCCATTCCCACATCGTCTCCGAAAGTCCATGGGCATTTCCCACAATCCTCTCCAATGGCCTAGGCTTAAGCTATGAGCCTCTGTTTCCAGGACCTTAGCTTCCCCTCTCTCTGCCTCTTCTCCTTTCGCACCCCACTCCACATGTCAGGATCACCTTTTCCTCAAAGGGTGATTCTTTCCTCTGGAAACTGCTGTCCTAAAAGGTCTGTGAAAAGTCTGCTCACCAGGGGTAAACAATGGCAACTAAAGTTTTGCCTGTCCAGGGGATGCTTACCTTTGACCAGGGAAAAGGAGAGATGGCTCTGGAGGCACGGGAGGAGAATTCCCAGTACCACCACTGGGCAATCCTGGCATCCGGGTGATGTGGCTGGCCTGAGGCCCAGCCCTGGACACCAGGCTGACAGCTCCCCTCCAAGAGCAAAGGGAGGCTGCGAGGACACTGTGCTTCATTGCAGGACAACATAGAGAAACCCTTCCCTGGGGGAAGCACCTTGCTTCTTATGCAGAAGAAGTGGCTATTCTGCCCTCTCCAATGGCCTTAGCACATTGCTTCCCACCCTAGACTCTAGTTTCGATGGGAGCAGCACCAGCCTGTGAGCCACTGGGGTCTTGGGTTCATGCCCTAATGCTGCTACCACATAGCCCTGGAGATTCCTTTCCCTCCAGACTGCAATTCCTCATTTACTGGCACAGTGAGGATGCTGACTAGACACACCATTCTCGAACTCTACTTCCAGGAGCCCCAGTTGTTCCCTGGAGTCTCTTAGGGGCAGTGGAGACAGTGAAAACAGGGCTCCAGCCTGCACCCCACACTCCACCTCAGAGACTTTCTTAAAGCTCCATTTTGTCAGTTTTATATATTGCAGCCTCCTGGAAATATTCAAACAACTGGTTCTGCTGCTAAAAAGAACAAGACTGGGAAACCCCAGTATCGGATGATCTCTGAAACTGGCTAACAGCAACTTCTGAAGGAGACAGGAAGACCCAGGTCTGGGGTGACAAGGGGATGGTGTGGAGGAGACATACCAGGATGTGGACCAGCCGCAGCTCAGCCGGGTTCCGGCACTTATCTCGGAGCCCCTCTTCCACACAGGGGTCTGAGGGCTCAGGCTCGAAGCCACAACAGTAGCGATCCAAGCGGTCGTGGACCTGTGGAGACACCCAGCCTTTGGTGGGGTGCAGCAGGGGGCCTGCCTCCACCAGGTACAGCATGGAGGCCACCAGACCTGCTGTTCCCTACATGACCCTGGGGCCACAGCAGGGGTGACCTTCAGTGGTTCTCTGTGCTGGTCATTACTAAATGGGGCTTCTGCTTTCCTCCTCTAGCCAGCTCACTCTGCACACCAGGAGTTGTTTACTCATGCCTTAGGCCAGTGTAGATTTTCACCCACTGCCCACAGCTTAACCTACATCATTGCTCTTGAGCTCTAGCATGGCACCACTGGGGCTCTGAATGCTGACTGTCTGCTTGTCTACTTCAGGAGACTCCAAATCACTCTATTTTTTCTTTAAGCAGCAAATGCTACATTAGGGATTCCTCCCTTCTTTAGAGGCGCAAGTCCTTTAATGATCATCTCAACAGCTCCAAGTGGACAGCTCTTTCACCCTGCAGCAGGCCTGAATCAAGCCGGGGAAGGATGAGGGCATTCTTAATGTGGTGTGCGGTCAGTTCTCAAGAGCTTTGCTACCCTTCCCCTGCATAGACACATACAGATGACACCCACAGCATTTTAGAGTGGATCAGAGGATTCCTAGAATCACGCTTCCCACTCACTTGCTTCAAGGATGCTTTCTTCAAAAGGAAAGAGTCACACACTGCAAGTCAGCAATAGGAAGAATCGTGGGTCTGCCCCAGCCCTGACCTACATGAGGATAGGATCTACTGTGAGCATCTAGGACAAAGAGGTTGAGGATGGAGAGACATACAAGCGGAAGTGGTAGAGTCCTCTGAGGACGGTTAGGGAAGGGCTTGCTGTGGGGAGAAAGACAGGAAAAGGAGAATAGTTGAAGTAAGGAGATGGTTTGGAGAAGGCTTGGGAGATGCTAGTAAGTGGATGAAAGATGAAATGAGGGTAGCTGAGCAGCAGGAAATCACCAACACACACACGACGTGTGAGCCAGGGAAAACTCATTCTCTTTTCCTTTTACAAAGGAAACTTGGTTTGAATAATACCTTGATGAGTGCTTAGGGTAGATGGTGAAATCCCAGGAGGTCTGGATGTGGAGGACTTGCTTTTCATGGGACAAGAAGAAAAGTTAGTTTCTTGCTGTGGAAGGGGGAAGACAGAGGAACAGAGACAGTGAAAGGAAGCAGGCAGCAGCAGGAGGCTGGGGCTGTGAGATGTGCCCTCCTGTTAGTTCTCTATCCTTCAGTAAAGCTGTCGCTCTTGTGAAATGTGTGGTGGATACTGAGCTTTGAGTTCAGGTTTGGTGTAGGGCAAGTCAAGGTAGTGCTCATGGCATGTGAAAGAGAAGGAGTCCATCCACTACTTGGGATTTGTCCAAATACTAGGATGGGCTCCAGACTTCACAGATTATAGCACCAGGGGTTTTAGTCATTTTCTTAAATCTTCCAGGTGGGGATGAAAGTCAGTGAAGAGGCCTTGAGGACTTCTGGGCTCTACCAATCAGGACAGTGAATCACATAGGTACCTAACACTCAGGCTGCAAAATGTACTAAGTTCCTGAAAGAGCCTGATTTCGGGAAGACCTGGATTGGACATTCTGATCTCATCTTTGCAAAATGGCCAGTCTAATTAGAAAGCCTGGGAATACCACTGAAAAGGAAGACATCAGCCTGGGAACCTGGAAACCCAGTATGAAGGGAGCAAAGCAGACCTCATTTCAAGAAAATTGTCATTGTTTGACCTGTATGGTGATTCCCTAGTAAACACCACTGAAAGGCATGGATTTTTTGGTTGCCCAGTGCTAAAAGCCTTTTCCTAAAAGGGTAGAGGACATTTTTTGAAAACATTTACTGGCAAATGTTTCAGCAGCATGGCTGTCTGAGGCAAATGGATCATGGTTAGGACAAACAATAGATTAACCAAAAAGCTTTAAAAGGAAAAGATATGAAATGAAATGTCCAAGGGGCTGTCAAAAGCTCCAATATGTTCTTGGAAATCTGCAAGACCACATACACATGTGTAGGACTATGCACATGTTGAGGAAAAAACTGAAAAGACCCTAAGCTCTTACTTCTCGCTGACCTTGAGATTGTACAAGCATGAGTGAAGGCAAAAGCAGATTTGTCAATTGCATAGATACGTGTTGGAGATGCCTCAACAGACACAGAGCCCCTTGGCAAAGAGTAGGAGACTTATTGGCTTCAGAAATTCATGAAAATCTCCTGCTTAGTCATCAGCTGATCACTGAACTAACTGAGCAGAACAAGCAAATAACAAAGAAAATAACTACAAACAAAAATAACTACAACAAAGAGCAACAACAAAAATCCTGGGGAAAAGAATAATCTGATTTTCAGGGTGGCTACCTTATATTATTTAAATACTCTGTTTTCAACAACAACAAAAAATGAGACAGTAAAAGAAACAAATATGGCCAATATGCATCAAAAAAAAGCAATCTATCAAAATTGTTGCTGAGGAAGCCCAGATGTTGGAGAAAAAATTTAAATTCGCTGTTTAAAATATGTTCAAAGAACTAAAGGAAACCAGGCCTAGAGAAGTAAAGTATGAGAATATTACCTCACCATAAAGACTGCATCAATAATGAGATAGAAATTATAAAGAGAAACCAAATATAAATCATGGAGCTGAAAAGTACAATAACTTCTAAAAAAATTCACTGAGAGGATCAACAGAAATTATGAGCAGGCAGAGGAATGAATCAGACAACCTGAAGATAGGTCAACTGAGATTATTAAGTATAAGGAATAAGAAAAAAAATGAAAATAAACAATGCCTCCGAGACTCATGTAACACCATTAAGTGTATCAATATATGTATAAGAGAAGTGTTAGAAGGAAAGAAGGAAGGTATGAAAATAATATTAGAACAATTAATGTCCAAAACCTCCCCAAATTTGGTGAAAAGCATTGATCTACACATCCAAGAGGTCCAGTGAACTCCAGTAAGATAAACTGAAAGAGACCTACACCTAGCATAAAACTGTCAAAAGCCAAAGATAGAGAGAATCTTAAAAGCAGAAGGCGGGAGGTCACTCATCACATAAAAATGATTCTTTCAAAGAGTAATTTGATATCAGATTTATCAAAAACCATGGAGGCCAGAAGGCAGAGGAATAATATTCAAAGTGTTTAAATTAAATTTTAAAAAAAGAGAGTCTGTCAACTAAGAATTTTATATACAGCAAAACTATCCTTCAAAAATTAAGGAGAAATTAAGACATTAACAAAACAACAGCAGAGTTTATTGTCAGCAAGGCTGTTCTACAAGAAATACTGAAAGGAGGCCTTCAGGCTGAATGAAAGGAAACTAAGTAGTAACCTCAATTAATATCAAGAACTAAAAAGCTCTGTTCAAGGTAACTACATAGATAAATATAAAAGACAGTATAAATGTATTTTTTCAATCTGGACTTCTTTTTTTCCCCTCTGATTAAAAAGAAAAACTACTTAAAGCAATAATTATAATCTATGCTGATGGGCAAAAAATGTATAAAGACGTAATCTGTGACAAGAATAGCATAAAAATGGGAGGGGGGGCAGATTTACATAGAAGGAAAGTCTTTTTACACTATTGAAATTAAATTTCTGGTAATCTGACCTAAATTGTTATAAATCAAGATGTTAATGGTATTCCCAGGGCAACCATGAGAAAATAACTACAGTTCTAGTCACCAAAAAACCTCACAAAACCAGATGTCAAGAAATTAGACAGCATTCAATAGTCCCAAGTACTGTCCCCAAACATTATTTTCTCTATTTTTACAGTTAAACATGGAGAATTCACACCTCAGGTCTAGACAGGCTGAGGGCATTTCTGTGAGGCTACATTAGGTAGCCATAGAACAAATGCATTAAATACATCCACTGATTCTAGTAAAAAAGCAAGTTTAGCCCAAAGGCCAATGCACGAAGCCCAGAAGATTGGTCCAGCTTGGCAAAGAACCACGGCCCTGTTCATGCAATGAGCCTATTGGCAAGACCTCCTGAGAAGGACTCTCTTTACTCCTTTGGCCTCCTGAACTTTGGGTAACCAATACCTAATTTTCCTTCTTTCCTGTAATACCCGATTATGAAAAATTTCAAGCATACAGCAAATTTGAAATAATTTTATGGTGAATACCCATATACCCATCACCAAAAATCTACCATGAATATTTTATTATACTTTATGACATATATAACCATCTATACATCCCTATTTCCATCCATTAAGTCATCTTATGTCTTATTTTTTATGCATTTCAAAGTAAGTTGCAGACATCAGAAATTTCCTCCTAAATTTTCCCATAAATATGTTGGGATTTGTCCAAATCCTAGGAAGGGCTCTAGACCCCACAGGTTATAGGACCACTTATTAGATTTCCTGGTTTTCCTATAAAAGAACCAATCTTTTCTACTAGAAACAGTCTGGTGGCATCATCAATCCAAGTACCCTGCACACCCAGCCATGAAGTGAGGATGGGGTCCAAGCTTCCCTAACAATATACCCTCCATCCTTACCCTGACCCTCCAGGCTTCCCAGGCTTCCCTTTTTATTCCATTCCCTGAAGTCTTAATGTCTTACCAAATATAGATTCTTCTATTGCTTGTTAACCAGAGTTAATCTCTGTTGCTTGGACCCAAACTCCCTCCGAGTAATGTACCCCCTGAATTTTTCTTCTTCCAGGTTAAACATACTTAGATTTTGAAACTATGGTAGATGCTTTTGATGTCCCACACCCATGAACCTGGGATTCACCTACAGAAGGTCCCAACCATACAGTCCCCATATGTAGAGGTACTCTTGCCCATAACAGGCTTGACCCACCCATGCAACAGGCTGAAAGTGCTAGAAAATCAATGCTCCCAGGAGCAAGCTTCAACCATTGACTTATGGCAATTAGTGTACAAATATCATAGCCCCTCACCTCCCAGTGGAATGACACCCTACAGCAGCATTCTACACAGTCTGTCAAGGGTCCTCATCTGGGTTCAGCTTCACTTGCTCATAGTGGCAGCC